TTCAGATTTATGTTTCATCTCCATGATCTCAACCATGAAGAGGTCAATAGGCTCATCTTTTCTTTTAATGGCCAAAACGGCATCCACAACAGCCTACAATAGGAGTTTAACTATTAAATACAATTTGCAGAAAACAAAACACTTAGTGCACTTGTTTTTCACAAATTTCAAGTTTGTTCACTTTAAAATCTTTGAACTGACTTTTCTATGTTTTTTCTATGAGCACGTATATTACATGTAAAAGACTAAAGTAATTTATATTTCTGAAATCTCAATTTTTAATTACCTAAAGAATCACATCTCTCTTGTTATTTTATTAAAAATACTGATATTGGTGCCTATAGCTAAGTGGTTAAGGGGCTGGCCACATACACCAAGGCAGGTGGGTTCAAACCCAGACCGGGCCTGCTAAACAAGGACAACTCCAACAAAAAAACAGCCAGGCACTGTGGTTGGCAGCTGTGGGTCCAGCTATTTGGAAAGCTGAGGCAAGAGAATCGTTTAAGGCCAAGAGTTTGAGGTTGCTGTGAGCTGTGACTCCATGGCATTCTACCAAAGGTGACATGGTGAGACAGTCTCAAAACAAACAAACAAACAAACAAACAAAAAAACCTTGGGCAGCACCTGTGGTTCGGGGAGTAGGGCGCCAGGTGAGGGTGGCAGGTTCTAACCTGGCCCTGGCCAAACTACAAACAAAAAATAGCCAGGCATTGCAGCAGGCACCTATAGTCCCAGCTACTTGGGAGGCCGAGGCCAAGAGAATCGCCTAAGCCCAAGAGCTGGAGGTTGCTATGAGCTGTGACACCACAGCACTCTAGGCACTGTCCTGAGGGCAACAAAGTGAGACTGTTGTCTCTACAACAAAAAAAAAATACCTGATAACTGAAAACTTTCTAATGATCATATTACCATTTTATAAGCCTTTTAATGAAAGCTCTAGTTACATTTTGGTAACCTATTGAGGTATACTATTAGTTTAATTTTCTCATTTTATGTTTCAGAGACATAGGTTAGGCTTCATTACCACAAAAACAAAAACAAACCTACAAGTTTCAGTGTGTGTGTATTTTGTGGCAAAGTCTCACCCTGTTTGCCCAGGCTAGAGTGCTGCGGAGTCAGTCTAGCTCACAGTAACCTCAAATTCCTGGGTTTAAGTAGTTCCTCCTGCCTCAACCTCTTGAGTAGCCGAGACTACAGTGGCCCACCACATTGCCCAGCTAATTTTTTTATTTCTAGTGGAGAATGGGTCTTGTTCTTACTCAGGCTAATCTCAAACTCCTGAGCTCAAGTGATCCTCCTGCCTTTGCCTCCCAGAGTGCTAGGATTATAGGTGTAAGCCACCATATCTGGCGTCACACAGTATGTTATGAAAACTAACACCCTGTAATTGGAATTGGTAAGTACTCCAATGTGTCTATTACTAGGGATTTTCCACATAGATGTACTATAGCTGACACACACAATTATTTAACACATACCTCTGTTAAGACATCTGCAAGTTCAGCATGAACTTTAGTTCGAAGAGATGTTCTGGCCACATCTATAAGTATTTCCCTGTCCATCTCTCTGCTTACTTTGACTTGTTCCAAAAAGTTAAGGGCCTTTTCCTTTGCAGCTTCAAATCCTTCAGTGACTATTCTGGGATGAAGACCCTAAAATAAACATACAAGTAGACACACGCCCTTAATTAGTGCAATTAAAAGTCCATGATCAAGTTCAGATAATTTTAATCTTTGAAGGTATATTCTGAATCACTTTTACCTTTTAATACAATCAAGGTAATAATGTGCTGGCTTTGTGAATACATTTAAAAGGATAAATATACCTTTCAATGCAGAGGAAAAAGACAGGCATTGCTCTAGCACAGGGTCAAAACCAAGGGAACTATAAAGTACACTTGGGTATTCACTGTGCACACCATCACCAAAAGTATCAAAACCCAGAATTATGTCCTAACAACATGCAGTCTTAGGTAATTTGAAACTAATTCATATTAGTCTCTTCCTAGCAAAGTCTGACAGTGGATTAGTGCTAAGGTTTGCTTTAGTTTTGACTAGCTGGGGCTAAAAAAATTGTGGAATTCTTATTTCTTTCTTTCTTTTTTTTTTTTGGAGACAGAGCCTCAAGCTATCCCCCTGGGTAAAGTGCTGTGGCATCACAGCTCACAGCAACCTCCAACTCCTGGGCTCAAGCGAGTCTTCTGCCTCAGCCTCCCAAATAGCTGGGACCACAGGCGCCCACCACCACGCCTGGCTATTTTCTTCTTTTTGGTTGCAGCTGTCACTGTTGTTTTGGTGGGCCCAGGCTGGATTCGAACCCACCACCTTAGGTGTATGTGGCTGGCGCCTTAGCCACTTGAGCCACAGGCACTGAGCCGGAATTCTTATTTCAATGTTAAGCTTCTGGTTGGTTTTTTCTTATAAATAAATACGTCTAGTCCTGGGCATGCGATTTTCAGGTCTCAATTATTAATCTATGTTATAAAGACAGATATAAATCATGTTTACAACTTGACAAAAAAAATTGTTTGTTTTTTTTCAGCCACAAAGGTTCCAAAAATTGTTCAAGATCACAATCAGATCAGGATAAAAATCCAGGTTCCTGGTAGCACCTGTGGCTCAAAGGAGTAGGACACCGGCCCCTTATGCCAGAGGTGGTGGGTTCAAACCCAGCCCCGGCCAATTTATATAAATAAATACCAGACTTCCCTATATAAAATGAAATACCACATAAATAAGAGAGTTGTGTGTACTTCAGAAATGTAGAGATCCGCCTGTTTCAGCAGCTCTCCAATGATTAGGACATTGGAAGTAGTACCATCACCAGTTATGTCATCCTGGGCTGTTGCCACTTTTGCTATTAAGGAGGCTGTTGGGTGTTGAATTTGCTAAAAGAAAAAGAAAAGAATTACTTAAAGTGAAGCAATCCAAACATACCCCAAACAAAACATGCCATCTACTTAAAAAGATCTGCCCAAGTGTTTGGCTACATATTACTTCCATTAAAACATCTAAATTAGCTACTTCATATGCTCACTTATGATTATCAAAACGTTTTCTCATACAAAATTTACTTCTGGTTCAGCGCCCATAGCACAGTGGTTAGGGCGCAGGCCACATATACCAGTGCTGGCAGGTTCGAACCCAGCCTGGGCCAACTAAACAATGAAAACCACAACAAGGAAAATAGCCAGGCACTGTGGTGGGCGCCTGAGGCAAGAGTATCACTTAAGCCCAAGAGTTTGAGGTTGCTGTGAACTGTGATGCCACAGCATTCTATAGAGGGAGACATAGTGAGACTGTCTCAAATAATAAAACAAATCAATTTACTTCTCAGATCTCTCTGTATGATAAGCCAGGTACCCTCTAAATTAACACCCAGCAGCACTGACCAAATTAAAAAGGAAAATGAAGTAGCCTTCTTAGCATACATTATTATGGATGCTAAATATCTCTATATGGATATTCACATCTCTAAAGTCATCCTAGAGATTCTTAATTAAAAAGGATCAGGGGCAATACATAGCATTTGGTTTCAATGTTTTTTGAGACAAGGTCTCACTCCGTTGCCTAGGCTAGAATACAGTGGTATTGTCACCATTATAGCTACAAACTCAAACTCCGGAGACCGGAGAAGTAAATAATTCTGCCTCAGCCCTGAGTAGTTGGGACTTACCGGCCCCACATTAGTATACCTGTCTATTTTCTTTTCTTTTTTTTTTTAAGACAGGAGCCTCAAGCTGTTCCCCTGGGTAGAGTGTTGTGTCATTACAGCTCACAGCAACCTCCAACTTCTGGACTCAAGCAAGTCTCCTGCCTCAGCCTCCCAAGTAGCTGGGACCACAGGTGCTTGCCACAACGCCCGGCTATTTTTTGGTTGCAGCCATCATTGTTGTTTGGCAGGCCCGGGCTGGGTTCGAACCTGCCACCTAGGGTGTACGTGACTGGCGCCTTAGCCACTTGAGCCACAGGCACTGAGCCATACCTATTTTCTATAGCATCGGGGTCTCCCTATGTTGCCCCGGCTGGTCTTGAACTCTTGGCCTTAAGTGATTCTCCCACACCAGCCTCTAAAGTGCTAGGATTACAAAAGCACAAGCCATTACACTCAGCCCCACTTGGGTGTATCTTTCTTCTCCTTTAATCTAGAACAGTTCCCCAGCATTATGTCTTTGGAGAAATGGACTTTTTCTTTTTTTGAGACAGAGTCTCACTTGTCCCTCTTGGTAGATTGCCATGGCATCACAGCTCACAGCAACCTCCAGCTCTTGGGCTTAGGCAGTTCTCTTGCTTCAGCCTCTCAAGTAGCTGAGACTATAGGTACCAGCTATTTTTAGAGATGGGGTCTTGCTCTGGATCAGGCTGGTCTTGAACCTGTGAGCTCAGGCAATCAACCCACCTAGGCCTCCCAGCACTGTGGGAAGCTGAGGCAGGAGGATTGCCTGAGCTCAGGAGTTCGAGGCTTGAGTGAGCGAGAATGAGACCCCGACTCATGGAAAAAAATGGAAAAACCCAGCCAGGCGCCACAGTGAGCGCCCGTAATCCCAGTGGCTTCAGACACTTAGGCAGCAGGATGCTCACATCCCAAGTCTGAGGTTGCAGTGAGCGATGATGCCATTGCACTCTGCTCAGGACATAGGGTAGAACTCTGTCTCGACAAAAAAAAAAAATAATTAGGCCATTCATCTTGTAGACTATCTTACCCAAATTTGTTTATGATAGAGATTTTTGATGTACGTAACAGTTTACTTCTCAGTGTCATATTAATAGGTATGTTATGTCAGATTATGAATATCTTTCTACAGGACATGGGGAAACTAGAAAACAACTGGAGAAGACATTTGCAGGGACAATTGTGTATGAACTGTATATAATACTTCTACCAATGTTAATAGGTACGATAACAATCTCATGATTACAGTATATAGAGTATTTGCAAAAGAGCAAGGATTCAAATGTTAAGGCTGTCAGGCTTTAGGTCTCCTCGTAGTATTGTTCTGTTAGAATCATTACAGATTACCTTCCTTTTCTGAATGACTACCTGTTGAGAGTCCACGAATATAATTTTCTCCTACCAGAGAATTAACATTAGCAATCTTTTTACAAATCAAGCGGACTACAAAAAAAAAAAAAAATCAAGAGGTTTTTGACCTAACATAACAGCCTCTCACCATTTCGTGAAGCAGTACATTGCCGTCTTTGGTAAGCTTGATGTCTCCAGCGCCAGAAACCAGCCTGTACAATAGGTAGAAATTAACCAGTGTCACTTTTTCTACGGAAACCAAATTAAAAGTCCCATAAAAACTGAGCTTTTCCCAGATCCTAAGTAGCCCGGGTCACGGGACGAGTTATCTCCTCGCAGGAAAGGGAACGGTGCAGCGCCGAGCCCTCACTGAGGCTGGAAGCCCGAGGGCGGGGGAGCGCCGCGCACGAGGGTAGCTTTGTTCTCCACCGAGATAACCTAGACACAGGAGGGAACGGCCTGAACCGAGGACCTCTGCGCAGGAAGGAGGCCCGGAAAAGGGGGGGGGGGCTGCAGCTGCGAGCGCGGAGGCCCAGGCGCAGGTCCGCGGCTCGAGCTCGCCAGACCCGGAGCAGCGCGAGGTGCCAGCCCGACCCACCCGCCTGCCCCGCCTCACATCTTCATGGTGCCTTTAGGCCCCAAGTTGGTCCTCAGCACGTCCTGCAGCCCCCGAGCCGCGCTAATGTTCACCGCTAGCGCCGCCTGGGCTCGGGCCACCTCGGCCTTAGGGTTCAGGGTCTTCACGGCCGCCATAGCTCGATCCAACAGAAGAAGAAGAAAAAAGCCGGCGTGCACAAGGCCCAGGGCCGGCTCAGCGTGGCCAGGAGGTACTACTATCCGGGCGTTCTGGAATAGTCGGACGCACCCGGCCCGCCCCCAGCGTGCCCGCGTGCCACCGCCATTGGGCGGCGTGTCGGCCAGCGCCCGTTGATTGGATCGCAGCCACAGAGCTAGCTACAGCTCCGCCCCCCGCGCCCGGGCAGGGGCGCCATGGAGCGAGGGAGGAGCCTATGCCGTGGCATTCTGGGCCCATAGTGTTCCGGCGGCGCGCGCTGCCTGAGGCCAGCATTGCTGACCCGGGACCAGAGGACGCAGGCGGGGCGGGGCATGTCTTCCCTGCGAGTAAGGCGCACGCGTCCGAAGGGCATAGGGTGGGCTTCTTTCCTACCCCAGGTGCGCGTTTTGCTGTTAGTTTCATTCTTTTCTGCTTTTATCCCTTTCACTGGAGTTTTCTACATTTAGGTTTGACGGTGTACTAGGTGCTTGGGGTACACAGAGTGGGTTTGATAACGACCTTTCCCTTAAGGCCTAGGGAAGATGAGACGTAACGCAAGATAGAAAGTGCTAGATGCCATTAGGAAGCTACGGGATTGGTGCGATGGGAGTTAAGCAAGAATCAGCCCATCCGTAGGGCCAAAACTAAAGCTGATTGAAAATTAAAACTTGGTTATGTCGTGTTGCCCGGCCTTTGAGGGGCTCTTCCTAAGATATAAAATTTCCAAAATCGTACCTTAGTGTCTCGCAAAATACCAGGTATTTGGTAGTGTGTGGTATTTTACTTTTAATAGGTAATAATGAAAAATTGCTCTGCGTTCAAAAGGTGCTTGCTAAAGGGAAAATGATTTAAGCCTGCTTCTCTCTAGTTCAACACTAGTGGCAAGCACAATTACCTTTAGATACTCTAAATTCTCCGAATGCTTTCTGAATTTATAAACATGAATTATAAACACCAATTGTTTCTCCACACAAGTGGTAATTCACAGTACACACTGTTGGGTGTATTAAAAGTATCTTGGGCTCGGCGCCTGTGGTTCCAGTGGCTAAGGTGCCAGCCACATACACCTGAGCTGGCAGGTTCAAATCTAGCCCGGGCCGCCAAACAATGACGGCTTCA